AAAATACAGAAAAGTTAAGAGGCAGTCCCAGGAGAATTGGATGTGTAGGTTGCATCTCCTTCTTGCTTATATCAAAAGCCTCTTGGTAAGCTCCTTGGGAATTATCTATCGTTTGTTTTCGATCATCACCACTCGCTACTTCAGCAAGGTACCGGAAATAATCTCCTTTCATTTTCAGATAGAAGACCTTACTCTCTGAATTAGTTGCATTGGCTATTAAATATTTATCCAACAATTCCAGGACCGTGGTGCAGATGGATCTCAGTTCAGACTCCACTTTCTCCCGATAGTCCTTAATCAGCTGCAACTTCTTGTCAGAAGTGTCGGTTTTCTGCTCGATGCTGGAGATGACCCTCCAGGCCGACCTGCGGCCCCCGACCACGTTCTTGTAGGTCACCGAGAGCAGGTTGCGCTCCTCGTTGGACAGCTCGGCCCCCTGCTCCGTCACGGCTTTCATGCAGGTGGCCATGTCGTAGCGCTCGGCCTGCTCGGCTAGCTTCGCCTTCTGGATCAACTCGGTCTTCTCCATAGTGGACCGACCTGAGGGCGGCGGCGCTCCAGGAAGGAAGGGGACGGGGAGAAGTGAGCGGGCGAGGCACCAAGGCCGGTGAGAACCCTATTCAGCTGATTTTTAAAAATGTTTGAAAAACATCGAATAGGCCAAAGATCGTCTCTTTAACAAATGGTGCTGTCAAAATAGGATATTCATTTTCAGAAGAATAAAATAAGGCCCATCCTTCACATCATATACAAAAATGAGATCAAAATGGATAAAAGGCCTACATGTAAAGCATAGAACTATAAATATCATCAATGAAAAGACAAGGACAAAATAGAGGCTCTGATACATGGCATAAATACACTAGCAAACATAACTTAAAATATACAAGGGGCAGAAGACAAACCACAATTAAAGAGATATCACCAAAAGTGTAAAAAGAGAACCACAGACATGAAAAACATTTTTGGCAATGACATATCAGAAAAGGGACTAATCTCTAAAATTTATAGAAAACTTACACACCTCAACAAGAAAAAGATAAATAATCCAATTAAAAAATGAGACAAGGACATGAACAGACACTTCACCAAAGAAGGCTCTGAGGAAGTCAACAAATAGGCAAGAAATACTTGTGATCACTAGACATGCAATTTTAAAAAATGAGTGATATTCACACCCCATATTTCCCAAGTAAAACAAAATTCTTGGCAATCAATATTTTCTCCCATTTATCATGATGTTGATTATAGGTCCAATTATAAGGATTTTTGTTTTATTTATAGTGAGGTA